TGGGCAATAAAGGGCCAAAAGCAGCCGGAAAGAATTGCTCAGTAATTTAATTTAAGCATGCCCCCCCCCCCTCACGCTTGGCCAAAATGGGAGGCGTCAGTTAGTGGCGCGTGCTCCATAAGCCCAAATGTCAATATTTGCCTATGCCGCGCATTAAACGCGCCAAAGTATGTGCCTCAAAATGTGTGTCTGGCATGTGTGTGTGTGGGATGTGTGTATGGGCTGAGTGTGTGGGCCGTGCTGAGCGGACATTTAAAATATGTTTTCTAGGCGCCCCCCTTTTGGCCATGCAGCTGCATATCTGTAGCCAGAACCCCCGGCTAGAGCGGAAATTAGCAAACGATTTTAGGCGAGCAAACATCGAGGCCACATGGAAATTTTGGCAACGAGACAACGCGACGTATGCGTGTTATTTGATTTTCTTCATTTTTTGCACACACTCATTTTTTTTTACCATACCATATTCCTTAACAATTTCCTGTTATAAACAAATCAAGGATGTAATAACGCAGTTCAATGGGCGCACTTTGAGTGAAAATGTGGTAGGGCGCTGCGCCACGCCCACAATGTGATTGAAAATAAATGCCAATGATTATGATCTTAAGAGCTGTCGCAGTCGGTAATAGCCGAGAAAATGCTGCATAGTGTATCCTTTCAAGCTAGGCAAAAGCCCAACGGCTGCGCACATTAGTTCAGTTTTTTTGTTTTTTTTTTTTTTTTTGACAGGGCTTCGCTGCGAAAAATGTAGAAAAATATTGTGAATGAGTTTGGGACGCAGTTTGATAGCATGTAAAAGTAACAACAAGGACAGACTTAAAGCAAAGCCAGTCAAGTGTATGAAATGTAACAAAGACCTAAAGCAAAATTACAAACAAACACACACACATGCACACATGCACACGCACACACTCGAATGCCACTCACACGTACTGTAAAAAATAATGAGAAAATATCAAAAGTGGACGGGCACACACTTTTGATATTTTTGTGCACAGCCCCGCGGGGGCTGAATGTCAACTTAAAGCCCTTGCGACTGCCGCTGGCCAACCAGCCGTGGCCGAGGCGTCTCGCCCAGGCCTGGTTGGCTGGTTGGCTGGTTGGCTTGCTTTCCACTTGGTTTTGTTTTCTTTAAAGTACCCTAGCCGGGCAAAAGCGACGCTAATGAGCTACTTAGGCGATGACTTAAGTCATTATTGTGTGTGCGTGTGCGTGTGCGTTTACACATCGTGACATTACACATACGCAGCGTTGTTCTAGCCACATTTTGTGGCAACATTTTCAGCTGACAACAACTGCTGACAGAGAAGCCATTCTTGTCAATGCCACCAAAAATTGTCTGCCGTTTCGAGGCACTTAAATGCACAGCCAGCCTTAAAGTGCAGCCTGTCCTGCTTCTGCTTCTGCTCCTGCCATTGTCCTGTGCTGTGCATAATATTCGATTAATATTTCAATAAAGTGTCTGTGTATGTGACCCTTAAAGGATTACAATAATCAGGGTCCTTTTGTGGAAAAGGATCATTCACTTTCGTTTGCATAGTGCACTAAATTATCTACTTAAGCGCAATTTTTCGGGCATTGAATTCGTTAAGTTGGCCCGTGGCTAAATCGCAATCATTAGCCAGCCGACGAACAATGGCTGCTGATTTACGGGGCCAAGAAGCGCCGCGGGATTCATTAGGCCAGCGACAACCCAAAAATAACACAGCAGCCGGATGGGGTCACACACACGCACACGTACACACACATACACGCAGGCAGACTGACAGACACATGCGTAATTACCAACACCTCATTAGACAAATGCCGCATAAAAGCTGAAACTTTGCTTTAATCAGCAGCTGCCGCAGCCGCGTCGTCCCATTCAGAGTGAAAACTTTCAACAGTTGCCCCATCAGCTGGCTGCCAATTAAATGTGTCTATCACAATGTTTACACAGGCCGAACACGACGACAAAAGCCGTGGGGCCCTCCAGGGGAAAGGGCATGGCAATAGTTTGTCAGTTGAGCCTTTCAGCTGACAGTCAAAATCATCGACATAATTCTCTAAAATGTGATTTTATTAATTAAATGCGACAGGCTAGTGCCACATCAGCCACAGCGACAGGGCGTGGCAGGGCGTGGCTCCCACTGCCTCCCCAACCCCGCCTCGCCCCCGCCCCCGCCCAGCTGCCAGTCTCTGCGGCTTGCGGTGCGGTTCAATGTGCTGCGAATGCCAACGCCGGCGACTGTGCACAACAATTTTAAACATGTCAACATGGTGTCATAATTAAAATGTTCAGCCCGGCCAAGTCAGTGTGTGCGACTGTACGTGTGTCTGTGTGTGTGTGTGTGAGTGTAGTTGCTTGTGCGCCGTTCGATTCGCTTGCAAATTTGAGCCTTAAATTCGCGACCCCACACGGGACCCGCGCCCGAAGGCGTTGCCTTTGTAAATGTCGACGCTATTGTTTGCCTTTACGTTGGGCGGCATTTTTAATGATGGCGTCGGGGTCGGAGTCGTTGCATGAGCTGTGGGACCAGCCCCCCTCCCCCCTCCCCCCTGCTCCTCTGGGTACTGGGAATTGGATTCTGGTGCGGTGGGGTCACTTCGGGCTGCCGGTTAGCTGATTGGTTTTGCGGCTGGCGCTCAGCCGCATTTTGGGAGCCATTTGTTAGGGGCCATAACGACTATGCTGCTAATTGCTCTTCTCTCTGTGAATGTCAAGCCCGAGGATATTACATTTGGCAGCATAATAACCAGTTGAGTTGGGTGAGAAAAAAAGCAAACGATTAGAGAACAGCTCAATCTATCAATTATTTGAAAAAAAAAGGGGTTTAGAAAAGATTTATGCGTGGACTTATTTCACTCATTTCGTAAAGGGCATAATTTCGAATATTTTGTATGAGGCAATTTATTTGTTTTTACATATACATGAATATGTAAATATATACCTCCATCAGATCTTATATGCCGCCGCACAAATAAACAATTTTTCTATATCTACCACAGTTTTAAAGATAAGATCAATTATTTTGATTTATTAGACTTATTTACGCGATTGCCGAAAATGGAAATGGTTCGCGCTAAAATATTTCAGATTGACAGATTTCAAATAAAATACGAGATAAAAATAAAAATATCAGCCACAATTTTAAAGCTAAGATCATTTCGTTTGATTTATTAGACTATAAATATATATACTAGTATATTAATATACTAGACTGCTGATTATCTATTGAAACGATGATTTCGAATAAATTTTGATGCCTCGTGCTAAATGCTTTATTATGGTACCAAAAGCAGAGACAGCTTTCTGACTGCGAACATATTCGAATTAAAACACATTTTAAGCAAAAGACAATCACGCCTCTCATTTAAAGTTAGGTATAAATTAAAAGCGCTGCTTAAAATAAATTCAGGGTATTCTTAATATTATTATTTGCAGCTAAAGATGTTTATTTATTTGTAGGTTTTTTTTTTTTATTGGTTGGAATATCTATTTATCTTAATTTATCCCATTTCCCTTGTTATATTAGACACTATTTTGGATACTTTTGCTGCTAAAGTGCTGTGGCTCTTAAATTTAAAGCATGTTTGGCAGCAAAAAAAATAAATATATATATATATGTGGGTAAAACTGTTAGCCAAGTGACCTACTGGCCAGCAGTTGGCTGCACGTTATCCCGACCACTTAGTCTTGATTAATGTGTCGCATTTTCCGGCAGAGCCTGGTGCCCGGCTCATGCACCCGTAAATAACAGACCCGGAGCTCTCCGCTCGTCCTCTCAAATGGGTTGGCTTTATTGTCTCAAGGTTAATTTGAATGGCCAAAGTTACGCAACCATTCCGAAACTATTATTACTTTTCTTTTTTGATGTACTTCTCTTTATTTTAATATGTGTTATTTATTTTTCAAAACTCTGTAGATGTTGCGTTTCAGGATATTCGCAAATTTTGCGGTTAACTGGCGTCTGCTCTGCATTTATTATGGATGCAATAAATATTTCTGCAGTTTATCTCGACAAAGGGCAGCATATGTGTGTGTGTGTGTGTGTGTGTGTGCGCGTGTGTGTGTGTGTGTGCGTGTGGGTAAAATAAAATCAATTTTACTTAAAGCACCTGTAGCCCGTTTGGAATTTAAAAACTTTCTGTTGCAATCGAGCATCGCTTTAGTTTTCAAAGTTGAATTCTTTTGCACAGCGACTGCCGCAGCTGTCACTCAATCATTCACTGACACATTGATTGAATGCCACGCCCTGCAGCTCAGCCGGGTGTGTGTCTGTGTGCGTGTGAGTGTATGTGTGCTTGACCTGCCCCCGACCCGCGCTCCGCATCTCCCTGCTGAATAGTCCCAACTTTGTGGTAAAATTTAAAGCATTTTTGAAAGTGAGCAGCGACAACATGAACTCGGCAAAATTTGCCTTGTGGCTGTCAAGGAATCTCTCCTGTGAATTTTCCAGCTAGCTTGTGCACATTCATAATGTGGGCAAGTATGCGTGTGTGTGTGTGTGTGTGTGTGTGTGTGGCAACGAAAATGTAAATGTTTGCAGGCATTTACATTGGAGACAAGAACTGGCAGAGTCAGGCAGGCAGGGCAGACCCGCATGATAACACGCATATCTTGATGGGTTATTGCCTAGTTTTTGGGACTGCCTAGAAGCGAGCCATTCGCATGAATCAGTGGGCGGCAACAAAATTAGAAACAGACGCACACATACAGACACGGAGGGTAAAGTAAAAGTCATATGCATAAATATTTGTGGGCTTAGTCGGGCCCATGACTTTACGACGCGCCAAGGCATTTGCCCAGAGAATCCAATAACAATGCGCATCCAAATGGCCCGACAATTGTGCTCGCCCCTCGAAGAAGACGATAAATTTGCATAGAGGCGTGTGTGCGTGTGTGTGTGTGTTGTGCATTTGCATAGATTTCGCGTGGAGTCGGTTTATTGTTTGCAAATACGTAAATTGGCGAGTGGCATGCCGTCAATTGCCGGCAATTGGCTTGAATTTCCAACACTTACCTCGCACTTTGGCAGCGGACCCTCGGGCATCTTGACCTTCCAGCCGAGCAGCGGCGGAATGCATATCAGTGCGGACATAATCCACACCGCGGTGATCATGACAGCGGCACGGGCCGGAGTGCGCGATTTCAGATAGTCAACGGCCTTGGTGATGCTCCAGTAGCGATCCAGCGAGATGAGGCACAGATTCATAATGGAGGCGGTGCAGAGCAGCACGTCCATGGCCGAGTGTATGTCGCACCACCAGCTGCCGAAGACCCAGTAGCCCATCAGCTCGTTGGCCAGCGAGAAGGGCATGATAATCAAACCCAAAAAGAAGTCGGCCACGGCCAGCGAGGCAATGAACCAGTTCTGTATATTCTTCAGCGACTTCTCAGTGGCAATGGCAATGATCACCAGCATATTGCCCACAACAATGATGATCATCAGTATGGTCACAATGATCGAGGCGATCACGATGTGCGTCAGCGTATATCCGCTCGGATAGCGTCCATCCCAGTGCAGCTCCGTCGCATTGCTGCCGTTGCCCAGCAGACCCAGGCTCAGATTGGCCGGCGTCTGATTGTAATAGCTGCCCGCCAGCTGCAGGCTGCCATTGTACAAGCTCCCATTCAGCAGATAGATCGTATCATTCACCGACGGCGTCAGGTCGAGCAGATTCGGCAGCAGCTGCACCTGCCCGTCGACTGTCACCAGCGGCGGATTGAGTGTCCCACCTGGATTTCCATTTGGCAGCGGCGATATTGTGGTTGTTGTTGTTGTCGGAATACCGCTCGTGAATACGGCCAGAAAGTCGTCGGTGCTTATGTTGCCCGTATTGATGCTCGGATCCACCTTGGCGTAGTCCATGTTGTCAAGTGTGCGTCTATCTCTGTCTAGCGTCTGATTGGTCCCATGCTGGCGCTGCCCGCCTCGCTTCGATATATATATATATATATATATGTTGTATATATATTTACAATTAAATTAGAAAATGCGTTGCATTCGTTTGCGCGCGTTCAGTATTTATTGCTCTAACACCCAATTAATTCTAATAATTTATCTAATGCCTAGCATAGTTTTGTGATTCGTAATAATTCGATTATGTTTTTGTTTTTTTACCCGTTTTGCACCGAAACTTGTGTGTTTGTGGCGTGTGCGTAAGACTCGCGCGACTTTTGATTAATTTATTTGAATTATTTAAGATTTAACTTTTGTTTTTGTTGTGGTTTGCAATGAAGTGCACAGACACGGATACATACATACACAGAGAGAGAGAGAGATGCACACAGATAGATGAAACGCATACAATGGAAATAGATTGCCCGTTAATATTGACTATATACAATAGGGACTCCTCGCCTGGGCGGCACCAGAACCCCACGCTCGATATCGCGATCTCGATCTCGTTCCCATCGATCGGCCCGATCACATTGCGCTAACGCCTCGCTTTAGCCGCACCATTCCACGCACTAGGTTTTTTTTTTTATTATTTTCTATTTGCACTTGATCAACAGTCTGAATATCTTTGCTAATGAAATGTATCTTTTGTTCGTGTCTCTGTTTGTTTATTTACAAAATATCTAGACAATTTCTAGCTCGACTCGCGCGCGCCTCACTGAATACACTCAATCGGGCGTGGGCATTTCTTGACTCGTTTTGGCGCTGCCTTGGCTAAATGGATGTGTTTGCTTCTTTTGATATTATTTTGTTTTTATTTTTATTTTTTGGGCTTTTGGCTACTTGGCTATTGGTCCAGCTGACGCGCCCGCGACACGTTCGCACCGCTGGAAATGCACATCTTAACTGAATGGCCCAAACATTTGCTACCAAAATTGTCTTCCACACACGCAGCCTCTGCTGCTTGCTTCGGCTTTGGCATCGGCATCGGCATCGGCTCTGGTTCGTGTTCCGACGCTCTTCGGCATGTTTCACTTGTGGGGAAATTTGCTCGCAGGGAAATTATCTCTTGCCTCGTTGTGTTTCATTTTCAATGCGTTTCAACTGAGTTTGTTTTGGTCGAGTGCGTGTGCGTGTGTGCGTTTGTGTGCGTGTCTGTGTGTGTGTGTGTGTGCGTGTCTGTGTGTGTGTGTTTGTGTTCCCCAAACCTAAAAGTGAACCTAAACCTAAATCCAAAACCCAACCCGAACCCATTTGTTGCAGCACTTTTCACGTTTTCCATTTCGCTGTTGCACCCCAAAGGACTTGTGTATGTGTGTGTCAGTGTGTGTGTGTGCTTGGTACAAATGTTGGCCTGGCCAACGAGGCCCATGTGTGCGATGCGGCCTTTTTGTTTACATTTTTTATTTCAACCCACATAGCTTGGCTTTGTTTTCACGGCAAATGCTGGCCGACTCACCTTTTAAATACTTCTCACGATTTGCACCCTGTTAAAGTTGCGCCCCAACTGTGCCAATAAAGCCATCAAAAGGCGTGCGGGCTGACACAATACATAGCCCTATGCTATATAAAGAGAACTATATAGATTAAGGCCCATATACATACATATATATATATAAATATAAATATAAATATAAATGTATTTATATATGTATGTATATGCCGCTGTATCACGCACATTATGCTCTATAGTCACGTAGCTGGGGCACATAATTGAAAAGCCAACTTGAGCGTATCAATCGTGCAACCAAACAGGTTGTTGCGCTATCTCCTGCTGTTGTTGTTGTTTCTGCTGCTGGTAGCAATGAAATCAGCTAGAAATTATTATGATAATGAAAAGTTGAGCGCACACTCAGCTCGCCTGGAAGTTTTTTATGAGCTGCCGCTGCTGCTGCTGCTGCTGCTCTGCCAAGTATGCAGCATGTACGCGCTGCGTTTGAGTTATTCGAGTTATTTGATTACGTTAAGCATACGCCGTGCTGCCGCCGTGCATAATTTCAAATTACACGCAGCAAAGCGGCATCAACATAATAAATCTGAAAAGGCGCCCGCGACGCCTCACAAACAAGCAGCGTGTGAGCTGCTTCTGCTACGGCAGCAACTTATTTGCCGTGACGGCCAGAGACACACACTCACACACGCAAGCACACTCGTTCATAGTGAAGTGACAAATGCCGGAAAGACTAAGCAACTGAAAGAGCAACAACCGGCAGACACTCAGCGTCAATGCCTGACAGAAGATTACTTGTCAAGCGCTGATTATATTAACTGCCTATGAAAGTAAGGCACACACACACACATGCATGGCATACATGTTTGTGCAAAGCCAATCAATGGCACACACACACACATGCACAACACACACAGGCCACACTGCCTGGCATCATCAAATTGCGCATACGCCGCATATACCAACGGGCTTTAACCAGTCTGACTGCATAGATAATGCGCAAATCCCTCAAATGCGCATACATTAAATCATACACATGCATACATGTGTGCATGCGTATGCGCACGCATGTCATACATGTGTGCATGCGTATGCGTACGCATGCTGTTGTCGCATGTCGCGCTGCAGCTGCAGCACGCACATTGCAGCCGCTAATGGGAACTGCGTCTTTCCGTCTAAGGGCAACGTCTGCACCGAAGTTGCCGCTGGGCTAAATCTAATTTTAATTCGTCGCACGTTTTGCATAATGAAATCGGATTTGTGGTTTTCTTAAAACAGGGCGTGGCCTCAAATGTGACCAGCTCACATAAATTGAGCACTCGGTAAAAGCATTTTATTTTTTCTTAGTTTGTCGAACAAAATTTAAGGACTTAGCTGGAAATAGAAGCTGGTAGCTGTAAACTGGCAAGAGCAGCGGGACGGGCAGCCGAACGCAAAAACATTTTCAGCACGCGGCTTCAGTTGAAAAATGCGCAAATGCAGCTCGCTAATGGCTGGGAATATTTTATGTGCGCTTATCATTCGCATTAGCTTGAAAATTGTTGCTAAAAGCTTGCCGTGAGCCAGGGGAGTGCTGCGCTACTTTCTGCCATGGCGTTAAACTGGGTCCGGAAATTGCGTTACTCATACGCACCGTAGCGCCGCTCGATGCATTATCTTAATTTAAAAGCGCGTTACCAACAGAGGAACACTGCATTGGACAGGCTGGCAGGTAGCTCATGAGCCCTGTTTTAGTTTTATTAACTTGGCTAAAAACTCATTTATCAAGCTGTCAGCGGCAATTATTTATGCCCCCGCCCCAACCCCCGGATTCAGCGCGCAGTGCTGTTCATGTGCAGGCGCAACGCAGCAGCAGCATTAACAAAAGCATCTCAATTTTTCGCTGTGACTGTGCCTTTAACTGAAACAACAATCAATTGAACCTAAATGCGCAACAAAATCGAATTAATGGCCAACCTTTGCGAGCCGATAACTTTGCGAACCATTTAAAGTTTTAATCTCTTGATGTGGCCTTTGCCTTCGAGCTTGCCGATTTTGTGGACTTGAATTAGTCAGGCAATTAGGCCAAGACAGCGCGGGCAACACGTGCACCCAATTGTATATTGACGATCTCCGTTGAGCAGTAGCGGAGGGCAATCGGACTACATTGGAGAAACAACGGGCTGCCCATCCGGCCAACACGGCCTGCATGTGCATGTGCATGTCACAAGCGCTTCGGAGCACACAACATAACAAATTAACTGCTTAGCCGGGCACGGAAACAAACACTTCTGCTATCAGCTTGGACAAGGCGAATAGCAAAGCCATTATGAGTTCTGAGCATCTTACAAGCATAAAATATTAATTAACAAAAGTGAAGCAGAATTCGTCAATAAATTTTAACTTAAATCCTCATACTGCGTTATTAAATACATTTTCCATCCATGTGTTGTTAAGGTACTAAATTATGATTGTACAGCTACACTTAATACAAAAAATAAAATAAAAAAAATATAAAAAAAATTTCAAAGAGAGAACTCGTCCTATTGACGTGATTCTCATTTTCCAACATCTATGTACAATTTTATTCGGTAATGCACTCCGTTGGGTGTAGATGGAGATTCGGTATATCCCATGGTTAGTCTCTCTCTCCCCTCGCTGTCTTTTATAACTATGTCATTCCCCTTCTATATCAATATCCTCCTGCAAGAAGGAGAAAACGATGGTCAAATTTTCGATGAAAAACCTCAAATAATCTATTTGTGTTCCGCAAACGTGACGACCTTAGGCTACATGGCGTAGTTATCTGAGCGTCAGACTAACAAACGAGAAGTTGTCGTTTTAAATTAAGGAATTGTCATTTGTTTATTTAATTTTTTATTATTGATAATACATTTAAGAACTTCCAAGAAATTAAAAGTAGCCTAAACATCGGCACACTGAGCGAATTTAAGAGTTTACAGCATTATATTTTATACTATACATTTTTTGCATAGAATATTATAATTTTGTCTCGAAATGTGTAACTTATATGAGATACAGTGTTAATGTTTTTATTACATATTGCATATTGCGTTTCCATATTATTATTCATTTGACCTCGGCGACGACAGATATTTTTTGTCTCTGGAAAATAATTATCTGCTCGATGTTCAGAACCTGGCTCAGATTTCAGGGGATATGATATTTTAAATGTGGCGCGAGTTACACAAAGAATTTTAGTACAATTTGAAAAAAAAAATTAATTTTTCATATGTAAAGAAACGTTAGCACAATATAAAAACCTTTAAAGCTCTGCAGCAATATTTTTAAAATGGACTAAAAGAAATATTTTAATGGATACGGTTTTTTAATATAGTTCGGATCAGTTCGCCTTTTTTCGCAACTAAGGTTCGATGGATAGTAAATAAAAAAAGGTATATTCTGGACTGGAATCGATTCGGGCCGTAATCGGTTTGAAGCCCCGACAAAAATAAACACATACTTACAAACTTTATGGGTCTGATAAGCTGCGAGAAATAGTTTTTCTTTTTTTCTGACATGCATTCATTTTTTTGGCGTTACCCTTTATCAAATCCACAATGATTCAATGTTATTATCGATCTGGGTTTTCTTCTGAACAAGCTTGGGTTCTTTCATTTACTTTGTTGATCCCAACCACATTTCCATTATTAAAGACCTGGGACTGGTACGAAGAATGCCATTGGCAGTTGTCATAAAATTTATGCGCTTAATTACGTGCCGTTTTCTGTTCAACTTTTGACGGGGCCAACGACATCATTTATTATTTTTATTAACGCAACAACAAGCGTTTTATTGACACCACCGACGGGTGGCTTCGGGCTTAGGGGGGTGGTGGTGGTTGTGGGACGATAGTCAATAAGGCAGCAACAACTCAATGGAGTCTGCCAAAAAATGCCATTAATCTTAAGACGAAGTTGTGCAGCTAATTGCGCCAAGGTCATTTGCCTCGAGGCACGCCACGTCAAAGAAAATACTTCAAAATGTTCAACCCCGTATCTGTGGCTCGAGACCGATTCCTGGCCGGCTGCACAATCATAAAAGGACCTTTTCTGGCAGAGCTGCCCGAATTTTATGTGCTTGAAACCAGGACGAGAGAAGCGACTGCGTGGCCAGGTAAAATGTGGGCAGACTAAATTATGTGGCGCGGCGGCAGTCAGAAAGCGCTGAAATTTGCCTACATATTACACTTAAAAAATTTTTAATTAGCTGCCCCGACAACATAACAAAGCAAAACAAAGCCACAAGGCCCCCAACAAAAGCGACGTTGCACAAAAAGCGTTGTGTGCGCCGCGGCCTGTGGGCGAGGGGGTGGTTGAGGGAATGGGCGTGGGCGTGGGGGTGGGGGGGTGGACATAGGCGTGGACATGCGATGACGAGGCATGGCGACGCAGTGTGTCCAGTGCAGAATGAAGGCAAACATCA